ATACGAACGAATACCACTCGGTAATGAGAAGGAAGGACGCAGAGCTGCACACGCCCACCCGGGTGACTCCCAACACCATGTTCTGTGAAGGGAGCCAGGCACCAGGGGCACGAGCTATGGGACTCCATTTGTACGACGTTCAAAGCCGGGCAGGGTTCGGTGGTAAGATCATGCAGCAAAGCAAGAAGTGACCAGCATCCAGTGCAGGGTGGTGGTCACCCTGGAACAGGATGGAGGGGTACCGGTGGGGAGGAGCCCAGAGGGGGTCTGGGGAGCTAGACATGTTCTATTTCTTGACCTGGATGCTTGCTTTTTGATAAATAATCAAGCTGCACATTTTCGTTTTGCTGTGAGCTTTAGCTGCATACAGTGGGCTTCTCTGTGTGTGTCCATTTCACAATCAAACACTGAAAAGAAGAAAGAGCATCCGAGGTGCCAGAGGGAAGGCAATCTGAGAGGCCAGCCCCCGAGGGAGCACCTGGGGCAGGACAAGCGGATGGTGTCAGCGAGCACTGGGCACCGAGGCCTATGTCATCCAGGCGTCGGATGCGTCTCCCGTCCCAGAATTAGAGGCAGAATTCAGACAGAGGGCGGTGCAGAGAGGTTCACACGTGGAAAATAAACCCGTATCGTTTCTTGACAGAAAAGTCGCACCAACCTGGCTTAGTGGTTGGGCGGACAGTGCTGGCCTCGCCATTCAGCCCACCTGGTGGAGTTTTTGAGAAAGGGAATGAGCTGACTCAATAGCTCCGAGGTGGTGAGGAGGTTTGGTTTAAAGCACTTGGTCGGTGTAGGGATGGTGGAAATCGCATCCTTTGCAACTGCTTACATTTATGATCACATTTAGATGCCAACTAAAAACGTGCACTGCTGGGGTCCAGCCCCAGCGGTCCAGGGTCCAGGGTTCAGGTCCCTGTTCGGGCGCCAGTTGCCGGGGTCCAGCCCCAGCGGTCCAGGGGTTCCCAAAGGTGTGGACGGAGTCGGCGAAGAATGAAGGACACAGAGACAGCGTTCAGATGATCAGCATAGCCAGGTTCTCTCTTTATTCTCCTGTTACATCTGTATGTATACCATTTGATCCTATAAGCATGCCTCTATAGTCACATCATGGTATGTTTTGGGTCCTCTCTTGACCTTCTACAGTTCCTTGTTTCATGTCCATAGCTTCTTATCTGACCTTTGCCAAAAATCCCATCCCCATCTAGTTCTGTTGATTTTAATCCTATCCATTCTATTCCAAAGGTTAGGGCTAGTTTGTTATCTCCATTCCAAGGTCACTACTCTACTGTTCTGTTAAGCTACAAGGAAGTAACTGAAGGAGATTATCCTAAATAAAGATTATGTAGCTTAAGCGTGATTGTTTGTAGTTAAGGTGATTAACTACCTGCCTGGCACTTAGTTAAGGGGTTTTACTGATTTGTTCCCTTCCTTAGTCCTGTTAATCCCTAACTCCAGAGAAACATCCCCACCTGGGGAAACAACCTTTCTCAGGGATGTGGCCCTAGTTAGAACGCATAGGGCTAAGAAGGGGAGCAAACATATTAAGAACAGTATGCCAGGTCCCTTGAAACATATGCTGTGCATATGTTTCTTCCCTGCAGCGACTGTGTCAAGCAGCAAGGATGGACCGGCTTAAAGCAGTGCACCATCTGTAGTTTCCAAAATTATTTTAGGGGCTATGTGAGCCCCAAATTTGAAGAGCACTGTCTTCCCAGGTGTTAGGAGTAGATGGCCAGATGGACAGAGGCAAGGAGGGCCCTGGGGTGGAGGAGCCCAGGCGAAGGAAGGCCGGAAGGCTGGGAAGGCCACTGTGCTGGGGAGACGGGGGAGGAGGGAGATGGGTGTCACCTGCAGGGAGCCCTGAGCAGGCTCTGGGTCTGCAGGAGGGGAGCAGAAAGAGGCTGGAGGTGGCAGGGAGGAAAGGCCAGGGCTGAGAGCCTCTGAGGATCAGGTGTAAAGAGGTAGCAAGGAAAGGGGACTCCCTGGCCCCTCATTGTGTGTGGCCACAGCTCTTCTTTTAAAAATATACTTTATTTTTTGTTAATCCTCAACCGAGGATATTTTCCATTGATTTTTAGGGAGAGAAGAGAGAGGGAAAGACAGAAACATTGATGTGAGAGAAACACATCGATTGGTTGCCTCTGCACATGCCCCAACCAGGGCTCAGGCCGAGGAGGAGCCTGCAACCAAGGTATATGCCCTTGACCAGAATCGAACCCAGGACCCTTTGTTCTGCAGGCCGACCTTCTATCCACTGAGCCAAATGGTGAGGACTCCACAGCTCTTGAAAAGACTACCAAGCAGGCCCCATACCTGGCAGCTGCTTCGAAAAGGTCGGGTGTCCACCCATCTGCCACCAGCTCCCAGCCCCCACTATTGCCAGGGTCTCCCAGCAACACTGGCCCTGTCCTCACCAGGT